ATCCACACTGCCAAGCCTGTTATTTCGAAATAAGGGGCTTATTAGTTTTGAAATAGTTACTTCGGGAGTTATTATTTCACAATAACTTATGTCAAAAGAACTCGGTAGTGTAGGCATAACTAAGTGGGTTGTGCCTTCGAAAGCTCATGATACCATATATATTTTTGTTCGTCCCTAGGGCTATGTCTACACTGAATGCTTGAGTGCATGTCTACATAACAAGCCCTTTATTTCAAAATGATTTCAAAATAACGGGCTTCTAACTCCGACTTCTGAAACCCAACTTCTGTAACGTTTCATAAGGAGTAGGGGAAGTTGGAGGAAGAGTGCTCTTCCTTTGACTTCCTGCTGTGTGGACAGCGCCAAAAGCCCAGTTAAGTTACTTCCACTTCAGCTTTGCAATTAAGGTAAGTTGTGTATCTTAACCCGCAGTATAGATGCACCCTAATTTGCTACAGGACCACTCATTGTTTTTTAAGTTTATTTAATCCCTATGTCTAGTTAGTACCTACCAAACCCAACATGGAAAGAATATTAGTGATGCAAAGCCCAGAGCCCTGTGCGCATGCATTTTGATACAACTTTTACGAGATCCCAAACTCCTTTTTCCACAGGATCCCTTCCCCATTTAGTGGTCTGGGTGGATGATGCTCATTGTATGGGTAACTATTAGGGATGTAAACAGGTAACCGGCCAGTAAGCATCACCATTATTGTGTGATGCTTACCAGTAACCGGTTAACCAGTGCCCAGTAGGGCTGGAGTAGACAGACCCGTGCGCCCAGTGTGGTACAGTGGGCCTCCCCGGTCTTGGTCCGAACATCTCCCTACCTGTGCTGTGCGATGGGCGGGGGGCTGCTCCAGCCCCGCAGGTCTCACTGTGCAATGCCATGGTCCAGTTAACCATCTCGTTTAATCCTTTAACATTGTAAATGGGGTTTGTCATCCCTAGTAGCTAGTCAGTATCTCTTTCCATCATCCTAACTCAAAATGTGGCCCCAAGACCAGTTCAGTGCATCCCATCCAAACCCTGCTCTCAAGACAGAATTATTAATTTCTTAATGATTAATTAGCTTGCTGATACAACACTAACATTCTTTTAATGTAGTTTTGTGCATGTAATTTCCTAGGTTTACTAAAAAACTAAAGAAAAGCAGAAATCCCCTCATTGGAACTATCAGCAGGAGTCACAGCTTACGACCCAGTACGGCCTGCTACTGCTTGAACCAATGCAGCAGTGCTAGTAGAACCAGCAGATGTTATTCTTCAAGGGCCCGTCTATGCAGCAGGGCTAAACTAAAAATAAGGTGTGCAACTCGAGCTACGCTAATTGCATAGGGGTTGCCAGATGGTTTTGACAAAAATACTGGACATGCTTGATCTCAGATGGGGTGGGGGGACACCCAGGAGGAGGTTGGAGGGAGCGAGGCTAGCCAGGGGAGATGAGGTGGGGGCAACGGCTGGCAGGGAGTGGGGCTGGCTGGCAGGAGGTTGGAGGGAGCAAGGCTAGCCAGGGGAGATGAGGAGGAGGCAATGGCCGGCAGAGAGTGGGGCTGGCCGGCAGGAGGTTGGAGGGAGCGAGGCTGGCCAGGGGACATGAGGAGGAGACAACGGCCGGCAGGGAGCGGGACTGGCCGGGAGGAGGTCGGGAGGAGCAGGGCTGGCCGAGGGCGGGAAAAGTT